GTGTATGTGTGCTGGAGAACAAGTAGAAACCTCTCCTGGCCATGGTTTCTCTTCTGCAAACCCACTTGGTGAAGGTGACTTGGTTTTCAATAGAAATCAAAAGGATAGGTTGGTTATATGTTTTGCCTCTAGGATGAAGAAGGATGGAGGAGGGCAGTGTGGGAGAAGAATAAGAAAATGGTTGACCTGCACAACGAGGAATACAAGCAAGGGAGAACGAGCTACACCTTGGGAATGAACGCTTTTAGTGACATGGTGAGTGTGGCTTAGGAGGCTTACCTTGGGCTTCCTCTCCTCATTCAGTACTATACTGAAATAATCCCATGCTTGACAACATTCTACTTCTTTTTCCTTGAAGACCCACGAAGAATTCAGGCGGACGAAGTTGGGTAAAGTAGAAGTGCAAGAAAAGGAGAGTGTTCCGGACACCTTACCTTGCTGAAATCCCCCCAAGAGTGGATTGATGAAAAGAAGGCTATGTGGACATGGATAACAGGGGGATGAGAGCATGAGTGGGCGTGGGGGGGGGAGAATGGGGGTTAATTGGGGGAATAAGGACACATTTGTAATACCTTAACTAATAAAGAATTTAAAAAAAAAAAAAAAGGCTGTGGAACTCCCGTGAAGCACCAGGTATGACAGAACTCAACAGGTCTCTCTCCAAGAGGTAAAGCCACAAAGGAGTTGGCGTCATGGCTGTGGTAGACTGTGGGACAATGTGTATTTCACTAATTTTTAAGAGTTTACACATTATTGGCAAAGTTGTCAAAATCTTGCTATTTGTTCTGTAGACTGAGAGCTTCTATATTGTTTTCAGGGTCACTGTGGTTCTTGTTGGGCATTTAGTGCAACTGGTGCCCTTGAGGGACAGATGTTCCGGAAAACTGGCAAACTTATCTCCCTGAGTGAGCAGAACCTTGTGGACTGCTCTCAGGCTCAAGGCAATGAGGGCTGCAATGGTGGCCTAATGGATAATGCTTTCCAGTATGTGAAGTCCAGCGGCGGCCTGGACTCAGAGGAGTCCTATCCATATCAAGCAACAGTAAGCAAAGCTCTTATCTTTATGTCATTCCTTTTGAAAGTTGAACACCGTAGAGAAAACAGATGCCATATTTAGAATTCATATTTAAAAAATTATTTTTAGAATTCATGTTTTAGACTGTCTGTATGTAAACCGTCAGAACTTTCATTAAAATATATCAGCCTTGAACAGTTCTGTTTGGGATGTTCACAGTTCTTATTTCTGTGTTACATGGAGACATACATACCATTCTAAATACAGCAATTTTTTCTTTCTTTTTTTTTTAATTTTAATTTTAATTTTTTTTAATTAAATCTTTATTGTTCAGATTACATTTGTTCCTCTTTTTTTCCCCCCCATGACTCCCCTCCTCCCAGTTCCCGCCCCACCCTCCGCCCTCACTCCCCACCCACTGTCCTCATCCATAGGTGCACGATTTTTGTCCAATCTCTTCCCGAATCTCCCATTCCCCTTTCCCCCGCAAGAATAGTCTGTCCATTCCCTTTCTATGTCCCTGATTCATTATAATCACCAGTTCATTCTGTACATCAGATTATTTATTCACTTGATTCTTAGATTCACTTTTTTTTTTTAAAATATATTTTATTGATTTTTTTACAGAGAAGAAGGGAGAGAGATAGAATCACCTGAGACTCTTTTCTAAAATCCTCATTTCTGGGCCTCATCCTCCGGAAATTCTGTTTTTGTTACTAATGTTGTGGCCCCACCCCATAACAAAGAAACAGAATTTCCGGAGGATGAGGCCCAGAAATCAGGATTTTAAAAAGATTCCCAGGTGATTCTGATGTGCAGCCAAGGTTGAGAACCACTGCGCCACACCTCAATCCCCGGGTCTGCCTGGGGCGATTCCGTGTGAACCTAATCAGGTGCCTGGAATTCCACGCTCGCAGGCCCCGCCCACAGGCCCCATCAGCCAATCGAGGCGCCGCAGGCCACGTGGGGCGGGCCGCTCGGGCCCAGTTCCCCAGGCTTTAAATCCGCTGCCGGAGTCACAGCGCTGGGAGCTCTTGGGTCCCTACGTGCTCTCTGCGCCTGCTCGGCCGCGCCCGGAAGGTGAGCGTCGCAGGCCGGGCCGACGCGGCTGGGCCACCCCGGAACCAGCCTTGCCGTGGAGGGTTCGGGAGTTCCAGGAGGCACCGTCCCGGGTCCTGGCGTGGCGGGCAAGGCAGCCTGACCTCCGTCTGCTGGGCTCCCTGCGCTCGTGGCAGCGGTGGGTGGGCTTGTGTGGAGCGGGGAGCGGGCCGCACCCCCCAGGCCCGGCCCCAGCGGTGCTCTGAGCGTCGGGAGAGTGTCCCCGTCCCGGTGTGGGAGTGGGGTCTCTGGGCTGTTTTTCTCCACCCACCTGCTTAGCCTCCCTCCACCGCCCTTGGGAGGGATAAATTCATACTTGGGAGGATAAATTCATTTTTTACACCCGGTGGCTGCAACGTCTCAAGAAGGTAGGGTGGCTTTCTAGGAGGATTGGTGTAATCAGATACTACTTTCTTTTCCCTCCCTAGGTTTTGAAATATGAATCCAGGAGGAGCTTCATCTGCTCCAAAATTTGATGCAAGTTTAGATGCAGAATGGCAACAGTGGAAGGCAACGCATGGAAAAGTATATGGCCCGGTGGGTTACATCTGAAATTACCCAGAGGGACCCCTTAGAGAATGGTCCAGACTTTTTGGAGTTTATAGCAGAAAGTAGCTTAAAAAAAAATTTTTTTTTATTGCCCTGACTGGTTTGGCTCACTGGATAGAGCTCAGGCTGTGGATGGAAGGTCCTGGGTTCTATTCTGGTCGAGGGCATGTACCTTGGTTGCAGGCTCGATCCCCAGTAGGGGGCGTGCAGGAGGCAGCAGATCGATTTTCTCTAATCAATGTTTGTAACTCTATCCCTTTCCCTTCCTCTCTGTAAAGAAATCAATAAAAATATATTTAGGAAAATATTTTTTATTAATTTCAGAGAGGAAGGGAGAGAGAGAAATATCAATGATGAGAGAGAATCATTGATTGGCTGCCTCCTGCATGCGCCCCACGGGGGATGGAGCCTGCAACCTGGGAATATGAACCCCTTGACTGGAATTGAACCTGGGACCCTTCAGTCCCCTGGTCTATGCTCTATCCACTGAGCAAAACCAGCTAGGGCAGACAGTAGCCTCTTGAGCAGTGGTTCTCAACTTGTGGGCCTCGACCCCTATGGCGGTTGAACGACCCTTTCACTGAGGTCTCCCAAGACCATCCTGCATATCAGATATTTACATTACGATTCATAACAGTAGCAACATTACAGTTATGAAGTAGCAACGAAAATAATTTTATGGTTGGGTCACAACATGAGGAACTGTATTTAAAGGGCCAGAAGGTTGAGAACCACTGCTCTTGAGGCTGGCTCTTCCCAAGGCAATGACTGCATGACACCTGTTACTGAGCACAATATGGGCAAACCTCCCTGGTGTATGTGTGCTGGAGAACAAGTAGAAACCTCTCCTGGCCATGGTTTCTCTTCTGCAAACCCACTTGGTGAAGGTGACTTGGTTTTCAATAGAAATCAAAAGGATAGGTTGGTTATATGTTTGCCTCCAGGATGAAGAAGGATGGAGGAGGACAGTGTGGGAGAAGAATAAGAAAATGGTTGACCTGCACAACGAGGAATACAAGCAAGGGAGATCGAGCTACACCTTGGGAATGAACGCTTTTAGTGACATGGTGAGTGTGGCTTGGGAGGCTTACCTTGGGCTTCCTCTCCTCATTCAGTACTATACTGAAATAATCCCATGCTTGACAACATTCTACTTCTTTTTCCTTGAAGACCCACGAAGAATTCAGGCGGAAGATGTGCGGTAAAGTAGACGTGCAAGAATAGGAGAGTGTTCCGGAAACCTTCCATTGCTGAAATCCCCCCAAGAGTGGATTGATGAAAAGAAGGCTATGTGGACATGGATAACAGGGGGATGAGAGCATGAGTGGGCGTGGGGGGGGAGAATGGGGGTTAATTGGGGGATAAGGACACATTTGTAATACCTTAACTAATAAAGAATTTAAAAAAAAAGGCTGTGGAACTCCCGTGAAGCACCAGGTATGACAGAACTCAGCAGGTCTCTCTCCAAGAGGTAAAGCCACAAAGGAGTTGGCGTCATGGCTGTGGTAGACTGTGGGACAATGTGTGTTTCACTAATTTTTTTAAGAGTTTACACATTGTTGGCAAAGTTGTCAAAATCTTGCTATTTGTTCTGTAGACTGAGAGCTTCTATATTGTTTTCAGGGTCACTGTGGTTCTTGTTGGGCATTTAGTGCAACTGGTGCCCTTGAGGGACAGATGTTCCGGAAAACTGGTAAACTTATCTCCCTGAGTGAGCAGAACCTTGTGGACTGCTCTCAGGCTCAAGGCAATGAGGGCTGCAATGGTGGCCTAATGGATAATGCTTTCCAGTATGTGAAGTCCAACGGCGGCCTGGACTCAGAGGAGTCCTATCCATATCAAGCAACCGTAAGCAAAGCTCTTACCTTTATGTCATTCCTTTTGAAAGTTGAACACCTTAGAGAAAACAGATGCCATATTTAGAATTCATATTTAAAAAATTATTTTTAGAATTCATGTTTTAGACTGTCTGTATGTAAACCGTCAGAACTTTCATTAAAATATATCAGCCTTGAACAGTTCTGTTTGGGATGTTCACAGTTCTTATTTCTGTGTTACATGGAGACATACATACCATTCTAAATACAGCACTTTTTTTTCATAGTGAAACACTTCTTATGGAGAGATAGACCCACAGTGTCTCAATGAATAGACACCAGCTAGTTTTTCATTTTCAAAACAGCCAATAGCATTTCACAGACGTAACCTGGAAATCATGAAGCTGCCTCCTGCCTGAAACTCATGCTTCCCGGGAGGTGGGTTAGTAATGAGATCTCTTCCCCTTTACCTTTAAAGGTTGGACCCTGCAGATACAGGCCCGAGGACTCTGTTGCCAATGTCACCGGCTTCGTGGACGTCCCTGGGCAGGAGAGTGCCCTCATGAGGGCAGTGGCAACCGTGGGGCCCATCTCGGTGGCTATAGATGCAAGCCATCTTAGCTTCCAGTTCTATGAAGATGGTAAGCATTGTCTATGTAGAAATTTAGGCAGAAGAACTGGAAAACCACCATGACCTAAAGCAAGATTCACTCTTTGGCTTGCATACTTTCTGGGTGTGTGGATTTATCATTGTTCATTGTGCACACACAATATCTTTCCCAGGTGCTTCCATTTGACATTACTTGAGCTGTATCCTCATGATTTTAAGTACTTTGTAAATATATTTAAGTGGCTATATAATTTGATTGGTATAGCTCAGTGATGGCGAATCTTTTGAGCTCGGCGTGTCAGCATTTTGAAAAACCCTAACTTAACTCTGGTGCCGTGTCACATATAGAAATTTTTTGACATTTACAACCATAGTAAAACAAAGATTTATATTTTTGATAGTTATTTTATATATTTAAATGCCATTTAACAAAGAAAAATCAACCAAAAAAATAAGTTCACGTGTCACCTCTGACACGCGTGTCATAGGTTCGCCATCACTGGTATAGCTTAATATACTTTACCTTTTTCCAATTGTTAGGCCTTTAAAATTTTCCAAAGAATTTTACTGTTGTAATTAACACTCCGGTGTGGGGTGAATTTCCCGCCAAAATATAAGATGGCTCTGTCTTTTGGTTTTGTTCCATCCACCAAAAGGGTGGATTACAAACAAATATTTGGTAATACGCAGTTACAATCGGCCCGAGTTTACACGTTTCCCGCACTCCACCGCAAATCTATATGAACCGAGTTAAAGACGGCTCCCGCGGAGTACGCGCAATTCACGCGAGCCGACTTAACTCGTTTCCCCCACTCCAAGTGTTAAAAGTATAGAGGTCCTTTGACTCAAGTAATTTTGTGTTCTGTGCTATTTCCCAAGACTGACGTCCTAAAAGTAGAATGACAGGGCTTCCAGAAGTGTCTTTATGCCTCCTGACTCACCCATTGTTTACAAAAGAGATTGTGCCAATTCAGATTCCTGCTAATATTAGATGAGGGCCTGAGTCCCTAGCCTAGATTTAAAAATTGATTTGACATATGAGTAATTTGAGTTATGAGCTCAGTCACGGAAGGAATTAAACTTGTAAGTCAAGGCCCCACTGTACTTTGTCTAAGGCCATTAGTTTTTCAGATTTAATGAGGTTTCAGCCCCTGTGTATGAGCCTGGCCAGTGTTTTTAGCTCAAGGTCAGCTTCTCTGACAGCTCATGATGTAACTTCTTAGAGGGAGCCCTGTCTCTCCTGTTGTGGTTAAGGTCGGGGAACCATTGTTGCTGGGGTGGGAGGGGATACTGCATGCATGCTTGCGTGTATGAGAGAGGGCGAGAAAACACAAAGAGATCTCTTTGGATCTATGATCTGGAATTCTTACAAATCTCATTGCATATGAAAATTATGCCCAGGAGTCCGTGAGCTAAACTGAACCAGCCACACATCAAGTGGGCTATGGGTTCCCTCGAAGTGATTTTATCTGCTGCTCAACCCTCACTCTCAGAAGGAACATCTCCATTTATCTTCCTTGGGGCCAATTTTCCAAACTTGGGAGAATCTGGAAGTAGATTCTTGATAAAATTAAACCAGTGTGACCAGATTACCTGTAAGTCTCCCGGGTGTAACCGCGCCCTTCAGCCGGTGCTTAGACTTGGGGCATGGGGCTCAGTGACAGAAGGTTCTCAGGACCAAACGAGCTTCCCCAGGGGCACCCAGCACAGAGACGCTGTGGGTCTCACGGGGAGGCTCCTCGTCCTCTACGCTCCCTTGGTTCAGAGCGGCCTTCTTGGGCTGAACCCACAAACTTCTGTGTCAGGGTAACCCCTTAGGGAGGACCATGCTTCTCGAAAAGGACTGTTAGGAGGCGAACGCTGCCCTTTCTTATAGCCCACGGGTCCTTGTTCTGAGACTCTCCCTGGTGTCCTGTTTCTGAGCAGAATGGAGAAAACTTTACAGATGTTCTCAGAGCGGATGCCGTTGTTCTCTCAGGAGCACAGCTCTGCTGTCTGTGGTCCCTGGACTACAAGTCCACTGGGGGATTTGTAAGGCTGAAGAAAGTAACACATGCAGGGCAGATAGGAGATGTCCAAACCTGTAGATAATTTTTATAAAAATTTTTGTGAGCCACCCCTGGCCTGGTTGCTCAGTTGGTTAGAGCATCATCCTAATACCCCAAGGTTGTGAGTTCGATCCTGGCCAGGGCACATAGGAGAATCAACCAATGATGCATAAATAAGTGGAACAAGCCAATGTTACACTCTTTCCCTTCCTCTCAAATTTAAAAAAAAAAAAAAAGACTGGTACAGTACAGTACTTTGCGATTACTTGCTCAGCATTTTCCCCCGTTCACCCAGGGTCCCTGGGCCAGCCCAGTCCTATAACTCAATATCATTCAACCACCATGTTTTGCAGAGGGATGGCCCAGTGAACCACGCTGGACCGGTCAGAATCCTCTGGGATTTTAGGTGTACAGGATGCTGCTCCAACCAACCGAGCCACACTGGCCAGGGCTCCTCGGATTTTACATACTGATGCTGCCAGAGGCAAACCTCTTGCCTCCGGGTCCTGGCTGCCTGATACTATATCCCTGGGGTGTAAAGTGCTCTTGAAGTAGAAAAGAATGGAGTTGGCATTAGGAGGGAGTTGACCACAAGAAAACGAGGTCCCAGTCTCCTAAGGCAACCACAGTTTCGATTTGTGTTATTTTTCCTAAGCATGCCTATGTGTAGGTTTTATTTTAATTTCATTAATTCTTTTTTTATTATAAAAGTAAATCATGTTTTTTAAAAAAGTAAATCATGTTTATTGTGAATAATTTGGGCAGTCATTGTTACCTTTTTATTATTTATTTACTTACAGAGAGAGCGGGAGAGATGGAGAGAAACATTGATGTGAGAGACACACATCGCGTGGCCCAGGATTGGGGTGGAGCCTGCAACTGAGGTATGTGCCCTTGACGGGAATTGAGCCCAGGAACCTTTAATCCAAGGGCTGGCACTCTATCCACTGAACCAAACCATCCAGGGCCATTGTTACCGGTTTAGTCTTCCTCCTTCCAATATTTTTTCTTTGCCCATTTTTTTTAAAGCAATCATGAGATTTTACTGAATACAGGCTTTGGTCACGTAGAGCTTCTGTGTCTCAGCTGCTATGCAGTTCAGAACCCGAGTTTCTAGTTGGTCCAGATTTAAAGAAGGGCAGGAAGTTATCTTTTCCAGCAGGTTTCCTCTTGTTCCTGCAGGGCACCGTCCCCTCACGTTTGTATAGAGACGGAAAGCTTCCGTTGTCTCCCCATTGCTGAGTCTAACTGATTCCACTTGTGTGTGTTATTGTTGTTTTGGTTCACCCAAGGGAAAATGGAAGGAGTCTCTTTCTTTTAAAGCAGTGGTTCTCAACCTTGGCTGCACACTAGAATCACCTGAGAATCTTTTTAAAATCCTGATTTCTGGGTCTCATTCTCTGGAAATTCTGTTTCTTTGTTATGGGGTGGGGCCACAACATTAGTAACAAAGAAACAGAATTTCCGGAGGATGAGGCCCAGAAATCAGGATTTTAAAAAGATTCCCAGGTGATTCTAATGTGCAGCCAAGGTTGAGAACCACTGCTTTAAAGTGAGGACAAATGTGAAAATCAGCTGGGCTCTTTTTCTTCCCCGCACCATTCCTAATTGTAGTCATAATTAAGCTGGGTTGTTTTCCAGACCTGGGAGTTTAGGTTTCATGACTTTCTGGATTATAGGTTCGTCTGTCCCACCACATGCGGCATAGGTAAGTAAAAACAAAGCAAAGGAAAAGAATTCCTTTTCAATTAAAGACCAACTAAAGACAAACTAATGCAACAAGCAATAGTTTATTTTAAAAAAAAGGGAAAAAAAACCAACAAAAAGAAAAACAAGTGACCTTCTTTACTATCTCATAGATTAAGTAAAAATACTTGTATTAATATATATGTATATACATACTGCATATATATATATATATACACACACACACATATGATATAACATTAAAATTACATGCTTCTCAGGACAGAAGAATTAGGACATGTTCCCCCGTATGGATTTAAAACTCTATCACAATAGAAAGTCACTGCAAGAAAACTTGCTTCCTTTATTTTCTTTTGTAGATTTCAAGTACAGGAAGTTATCAAACCAGGATCTCAATGTGGAAAACCGTCTGCTATGCACAAATGACAACGGACTGCCACAAACCGTGAGTCGGGGGTTTTGCGTTCTCACACAGATCTTCGTAGCCCTACAACTGTCAGCCTTCTACCTGAGATGAGAGGGAATGATAAAGCGCCACAGTTTGTCGATTCCACGTGGACGTTCACATTGACGTTTAAACAAAAGCTAACGAATACATGTCATCGCAGCAACAACACTGGCCATGAAATCACTCTAGAGGAGGATTCCTTTTTCCCCCTTCCTTGCCAAATAAAACACACAAATTGCCGGGGAAAAAACCCAACGCAAATCGGAGGGTGAAGCACCTCTGGCGATGATCAGCATACAGCAAGGAGCAGAGGGGAGCGTTTCCTTCGGGACAGCTCCTGGCTGACGTGATGATTTCAAACACACCCTCGTCTGCAAAAGGCACTCACATATTGTCTATTTATAAATCATACAGTGGGAGTCCATACATGAGGGGTTTTCCTATAAATATAAAAAAGATAAGCTGAGGACATGATAATATAACAAAGAAGAGTATGAAATGCACATTTTGGATAAATGTGCGTTTTTTATTTAAAGGACAATCAATATAATCGTTAAAAATTTTTTCATTGAAAAGTTAGGGATTCCAGTAAAATTATCAGTCAGAAGCAAGGTACTAGAGGCTGAGAGATGGAGTCCAGAACAGGGAGAGGAGGGACACTAGCTTCTCAAATGGCCAAACGAACGGGTATGATTAGCTCTTAAACTAGAACAGACCGTTCACTCACAATGGAATGTGTGAGAGGGAGGAAGGGGGGGAGGGAAGGAGGGAGGGAGTAGCAGAGAAATAGGTGCAGCGGGAGGGAGGGGGACATAGGAAGGGGTGCATCTGGAATCTCAGGTGCGAAAGATGGCTGCATCCCCCTTGCTTTTGCAGTTTGAAGACACCCTGCCCAAGCCAAAGCTGCCCTCACCTGGACACGACCGAGCTAATGGAATTATAAGACGTGCCACTGTTGCAGCTCGAGGCATAGGCCTCCTGGCCGTTGCCATCGAGGTGGATTTTGAACACAGAGGACGCCTTCAGTAGAAAGTCTGCCGCGTCTCGGCGCCCCAGCTCCCGAAGTTTGGACATAAGGATGCCGACCGTGCTCTCGGGGTAGGAGGTCCATTCCCGGAGCAGGGCGTGGACTGGGCTCGGGAGGAACTCCTTGGGAGCCCCGTTGTTGGTGTTATACTTGGCCACGAGGTCAGGGAGGCCCAAGTTCATGGCGAGAAGGCACCAGTCCTTCCCCATTGGATCGGGCGGGTCCAGCAGGCGACTAAGTTTCCTCCGCGTCAGGAGGTTCAGATCTGACGCGTGGATGTCCATCCCCAGGCTGGCCTGTGAGTAGATGTCGTGACAGCCGAAGCACATGATGCTGCTGAAGCTTTCCTTGTACCCACCCATGGTGTTGGTCAGCGAGGTCTCCCTCAGGGTCTGCGCCCGGAAGAAGTCCCGGGGCTGGTAGATCATGACGGGCTCGTGGTGCTCCCTCAGCTGCTGGGGGCTCAGGTAATGCTTCACCGTCAGCAGCCCTGGCAGCGTGGTGGCCATGACGTTCTCGATGGTGCTGCACACCGAGTCCAGCAGGAGGCAGCACTTGATCTTTTCCGTCTCCAGCCCGCGCACCTGGACCTCGATGCCCTGGCCGTGGTTGACCAGGAGCACCAGGAGCTCGGCCCCGCGGTTGGCGATCTTGCAGCCGCTCACCCACAGGCGAATGTCTGCGTCCCCCTCGGCGCTCTGTTGGTGGATCCACCGGCACAGGTTCACCTGGACCTTGTGAAAGATGCCGCACGGGAAGGGGGCGAGGTGCTCCACGGGGACGATGCGCACACCGCCGTAGACCATCACCTCGTCCTCCTCGTCCGTCCAGGAGCGGTGCAGGTTGTCCGTCTTGATCAGGGCGGGGATGTCCACCATGGTCCCACTGCTCAGGTCCCGGGCACAGATGTCCATGGCATCGAGGATCTGCAGCAGCTCCTCCACGTCACTGTCGGGCACCAGGCGCTGGATGTCCTCCATGGTGTAGCGGCCCCGGTAGTGGTGCAGGGCCCGCGGGGTCTCCACGGAGAGCAGCTTGCCCAGGACGTTGGTGCAGAGCCAGCGGGGGTCCAGGAGCAGCACGTCCTGGACCGTTTCACTCTGCATGATGTTGATCTGCCAGAGGAGACAACGACAAGTCACACAGAGGAACCTGAATGAACAGGCACCAGCTGCTCAGAGAACAAACAGGCCCGAGCAGTGACAGAATCTGAGCAGATGTTGCAAGGAATGACTCCTGCATCATTCGTATGGCTGGCTCTCAAATATCAATTACTAAGCCAAAAGCCAGCTTGAGAAGAGAAATTTTGAAAAGACCGTGGACTCTTAAAACAAAATGTGAGAGATGGCAGCTATGGAATGAGTGATTTTTGACTAGATTCTGTTCCAAAATAAATACATAAATAAGTAAAACCAGCTATAAGAGAAATTATTGGCACATGTGTCCAGAATGGGATTATTAATTATATTGTGGCTATGTGGGAAAATGTCCTCTTTAGGAAATACAGGCCAAAATCTTGTTTGTTTTTTTATTTTAGAGAGAGGGAGAGAGAGAGAGAAACATCCATGATGAGAGAGAATCATTGATTGGCTGCCTCCTGCATGCTCCCTACTGGGGATCAAGCCCACAACCTGGGCATGTCCCCTGACCAGGAAGTGAACTGTGACCTCCTGGTTCATAGGTTGATGCTCAAACACTGGGCCATGCCAGCTGTGCTGTTTCTCCTAATTCATAGAAACAAACGCAGAGAGACAGCTAAAATGAGGAGACAGAAAAATATGTTCCAAATGAAAGCCAGGAACTGAATGAAATGGAGACAAGCAATCTACCAGATAAAGAGTTTGAAACACTGGCTATAAGGCTGCTCAATGAACTTGGGAAAAGACTAGATGAACTCAGTGAGAACTTCAACTGACAGGAAAAAACAAACAATCAGGGCCCTCCTGGGAGCATGTCCATGACTTTCTTTCCTAAACTCTAAGGGTCCCTAGCGACTTGCAACCAGGGGAGCAATGGGGACCAGCAGCTTGTCCCCTGAACCTGACTCAAAGGCCCCCTTTTCTCTGACTTTTCATTGAGCCAGTAGCAGCCCTGCCTTGGCTCATTTCTTTCCCATAAAGTTCCTAGAGAACAAAGCAGCCCCGCCTACGGTCTCTTGTTGCTTCTTCTACGGCTATGCTAATCCCTTCTTGCCACTTCATGTCCCAGCGTTAATAAACATATTCTTAAAATCACACACACACACCAATTAGACCTAAAGAACACAGTAACTGAAATGAAAAAAAAAAAAACAACAAACACTAAAGGGAATCAACAACAGATTAACTGATGCAGATGAATGAGCCAGCAAACTGAAATAAATGAAATAGAGACTAAAAAATAATAGAAAAGATCAATAAAACTAAGAGCTGGTTCTCTGAACAGGTAAACAAAATAGATAAACCTTTAGCCAGATTCATCAAGAAAATAAGAGAAAGGGCCTAAATTAATTCAAAAAGGATAGAGAAGAGACAACCCACACCACAGAAATACAAAGGATTGTAGGAGGACAGTATGAGCAATGATACACTGACAAATTTGACAACCTAGAAGAAATGGATAAATTCCTAGAAACAGAATCTTCCAAGACTGAGTGTTGTTTCTAGCAATCAGTCTGTTCATATTTTCTGCTTCTTCCTGATTCAGTAATCAGAAAACTCCCAACTAATAAAATTCCAAGACTAGAAGGCTTCACAGGTGAATTCCACTAAGTGTTCAAAGAATTAATACCTATCCTTCAGATCTGAAGAGGGAAAGCTCCCAAACTCAATCGCCCTGACACCTGGAGCCCTGCCCGGCCGCAGAGCCCTCACCTCGCCGGCACTGTGGAGCTGCTGGGCGATGCCCCGGAGGTCCTCCTCGCTGGCCAGCGGGTTCAGCTGGTCCTGCACGTCGTACACAAACTGCTGCAGTGACATCAGCTGGTTGGGCCCATTGAGCTTCCTCCAGGACGGCAGCGTGGAGATGATTTTCTCACACAGGTGAGTCATCGGAGGGCAGACCTAGAACATGCAGACACGACAGGTCAATTTACAGCTGTGGGGACTCAGCAGGAGACCGGGTTTTCATGCGGACTGTTGAAAGTTTTCAATTTAGACTAATTCTTGGTATTGGCTTGAAATGGGTTTTTAATCTTTTAACTTGATTAAATAAATCAGTCTGCTACAGACTCATCTACCCAACCACACCTTCCTAATTAAAAGCCAAAGCAGCCATCCCCTGCACCCTATCATTCATGAGGCTGTCCTCTGGTGGACAGTAGCTTTTAGGTCAGCTAAATTCCACTCCTTATTAAAAAACACACACAAAATGCCCAGGATACAGGCAAGTTTGAACTGCCTGACCTCAGTAGTGGAGGGTGTGTGTGTGAAGTGGACATTGTGCCACACCCCAAAAACACAGTCCCATTCCATTTGTTTATTATTTTATGTCCTTCAACAAATGTTGGTGAATTTTTTTCTACCTTTCTGCATTTTTTAAATATTTCACAAGTCGCTTTTTTGTATCATCAACTATATATAGAAAATCCTAATATGCAAATAGACCAAATGGCGGGACAACCAAACAACTGGTTACTATGACGTGTGCTGACCACCAGAGGGCGCGCATGGGACATGGTGGGCGCTGGCCACGAGGGGATGGTGGAGCAGGTGAGCGGGGGGCGCCAGACCAATGTGGGGCACTGGTTGCTGCCATTGGGGCGAGCCTCTGGTGGTTACTGAAAATTCTTTGCTCCCGCATGCTGTGGTCCTGCCTGGCGCTTGTACCCGCTATCAGGGCCTGGCGCTGGCCCTAATCGCTTGGTGTTGTAGTGGGTGTGAGTGGTGGCTGCTGGCCCTGATCACCCCTCAGGGCTTTTCCACCTCCCCCTGCTCCTGAGGGGCGATCGGGGCAGCAGCTGCTGCTCGCACCTGCTGCCAGCACCTGGTGCCAGTCCTGATTGCTCGGTGCCGTCAGCAGGTGTGAGTGGTGGCTGCTGGCCCGATCGCTCCTGAGGGCTTCTCCACCTCCCCCTGCTCCTGAGGGGTGAACAGGGCAGCAGCCACCGCTCGCACCTGCTGACAGTGCTGGCCCTGCTTGCACCCATTGTTGGCACTGGCCCCAATTGCTCCTCGCGGTCAGCGGGTGTGAGTGGGGTCAGTTCGTGGGAGCAGGGCTGCGGCTGGAGAGGCCTGGCCAGGGTGCGGAGGATGGGCCGAGACCCTCCCTGTGCCTACTGCAGCCTCGCAGCCCAGTTCCTTTCAAGATGCACAAATTTGTACACTGTGTGTGTGTGTGTGTGTGTGTAATTTTTAAATATATTTTTATTGATTTCAGAGAGGGAGATAGAAACATCAATGATAAGAGAGAATCATTGATCAGCTGTCTCCTGCACGCCCCCTACTGGGAATTGAGCCTGTAACCTGGGCATGTGCCCTTAACTGGAATAAAACCTGGGGCCCTTCAGCCTGCAGGCTGACACTGTATCCACTGAGCCAAACCAGCATAGGGCTGTATCATTATATATTTTAAAAATTTATTAAGTTCATTGGGGTGACATTGGTTAATAACACTTTTAGTAGTAAAATTTATACCATATCATCTATATATTGCACTGTGATCACCACCAAAATCTAGTCTCCTCCCACCATCGTTACCATAAGTTTGACCCCTTTAGCCCTCTTCATCCTCCTCCAACCCCCTCCCCCTCTGCTAACCACCTTTCTGTTGTGTCTGAGTCTGTTTGTTTTGTTAGATCATTTGTTGCTTTCTGTTTTATATCCCATACTAGAGGCCCCGTGCACAAAAATTTGTGCACTCGGGGGTCCCTCAGCCCAGCCTGTGCCCTCTCGCAGTCTGGGACCCCTCCGGGGATGTCCACCTGCTGGCTTAGGCCTGCTCCCCGGGGGATTGTGCCTAAGCTGGCAGTGATACATCCCTTGGGGGATGTCCACTTGCCAGCGGGCCGAAGCTGCAGTTGAACATCCACAGAGCTGCTGAGGAGGCAGGAGAGGCTCCCACCATTGCCAATGTGATGCCTTCAGCCTGGCTTGTGGCTGAGCAGAGCTCCCCCTGTGGGAGTGCACTTACTACCAGGGGGCAGCTCCTGCATTGAGCATCTGCCCCCTGGTGGTCAGTGTGTGTCATAGTGACCAGTCATTCCCAGTCGTTCTGCTGTTAGGGTCAATTTGCACATTACTGCCCTAATGGGTTTGGCTCAGTGGATAGAGCATCGGCCTGCGGACTGAAGGGTCCCAGGTTCGATTCTCGTCAAGGGCATGTACTCTGGTTGCGTACACATCCCCAGTAGGGGGTGTGCAGGAGGCAGCTGATCGAAGTTTCGCTCTCATCGATGTTTCTAACTCTCTATCCCTCTCCCTTCCTCTCTGTAAAAAATCAATAAAATATATTTGGGGAAAAAGATTGCATGTGCACATTACCCTTTTATTATATAGGATATGAGGGAAACCATATGGTTCTTCACTCAAGTCACTTTTGAATTCTTT